AGCTGGACTGTTTAGTGGATTAATCCAGTAGGCGACTGACTAGTAATTTGGTAATTAATCACAACTTCTTCACGTGTTTATACTTCTTCCTTGTGAGGATATATTGCATTGTTTGTTTGAAACTGCTTCAAACTAAATAGGCAGATTGATCCAATTTTGATATGATCTTTTTATTTCTAAGATGGCGGGACACGCTGAGACTCTGCGCTTCGTGTTTCGCTCTTTTTACCGTTTGGTTTCGCTATCTTTACTGTTTATTTTATCATTCGGATATATTTACCGTCTCCATGAGCGCGTCTGAATCTCGTTGTGTTTGCTCCGCGTATACAACGACAACAAAGGAATCTAATTTCATCATCAGTGTGATACAGTGTAGTTAGTTGACATACAGTTTAGTACACTGTTAAATTGATGACGTTTGACTTGAGTTTGTTTTGGCCGCGATGTTAATTATTGTAGCGTTTTTTAGTATTTGAAAAAAAAAATATTCTGAGATTTTCACGACACCATACATCCGTTTACTATTTATTTCCAGCTTTTTTGACCTAAACAATGAACAATTTAGCTGAAAAACAAGCAGTTTACAGATTAACAGTTAATTAAAATAACCATTAGTTGCAAAATGTCGTGCATCACGTGCAGATTGTGGAAGTCTGACAGCGGTAACATGTCGGAGTTCTAACATGTAGTCTGGCACGTAGTCCAACAGGGAACTTTGCCCAGCATTACTCTAACCTACAGTACGTGTTTGTACCACAAGGGGGCGCTTTATTTCTTCATATTTGCTCCTATGATCAGCTCTGGTGTCTCGGTTCATGAAAATGAACCCCGTCGTCACTGCAGCTGGAAGAGTTTCTGTTTATTTCTTTTCCTAAGAATCTGATTGTTGTATTTAAATTCTGTAGCTTCGTCACTATGTAGGAGTTAGTTAGTGGCAGAGTTCACTGTTCCTACAGTTCATAACACGCCACCCTTGCTGTGAGGAAACTCAGATCAGAGTTGCAATTATTGCCGGATGTCTTTATTGAAATAACGAGCTTATACGGCTGCTCTGTCAACTGATACTCCACTTCATCTTCTGTTTTGCTTTTGAAGAAAAAGGAGGTTTGCTGCCTTCGACACTCTGGGAGCTGAAACCTTAAACCACATTGGGGGCTGTGATCTAATGGATCTGAAACCTAAAGACAGTGAGATAAGAGGCACATTTTCTAGCCAAGAAAGCTATTACAGATGCCACTGGAGTACAGAAACACCGTCCCTGGCCGGATGTCATTAAGCATCACAGAAGACGTTGTCATGGTGCCACTTTACGAGCTAAACGACGCCCTCTGCTGGCCAACGTGGATCCTCCTGCCTCCACTGGTCGCTACAGCAGTGACCTCGGTATCAGGTAATGCCAAATACGACATTTTAATTTCCTTATTTTCTTGTTATTCTGGATCCTTTTCATATAGAATTTCGACCAGGTCCCCTTATAAGATTTGTGCTATTTTTACCCTTCTATCGCGATTAGAAACACCTTCAACAATCCACTTTTGGGTAAAGAAAATAACTACTGATACCTTCAACCTGTTAGAATGCTAACATCTGATGTGAAGGATCCCTCCTCTGTTGAGCTGCTGTGTGAGCATTACAACATTTAGTGGATGTTGAGCCGTGATCAGAAAAACAAAAAATACTGCAGCAGATTTCCCTTTTTTCTAAAACATAACATCGAGTCTCCTTTATTTATAAATCACACTTGGCACAACAGACACTGAGCTCTCCAATAGAGAAACAAGAAGTTACAGATTTACCTTTAAAATATCACACTGTCAAAGATGGCTGATGTATAAAGTGCATTCTAAAGTGATGCTGCACGACGACAGGCAGTTAAAATAAGAACAACAGAGGAGTGACTGTTACGGTGCATAAACATAAAGTGCATCTGCAGTCTGTAACCCTGGTGTCTGATCCTCCGTCTAACCATAACTCCATACCTAGTCCTCAATGTGCACTGGGCACGACTCCTCATCTGTCCATCCGAAAGAAAGCGAAAGGAGGAAAAAAAGACAGAGACGGAGAAGAAGAAGAAGAGCAGAGGCAGAAAGAAGAGAGAGGAAGGAAAGGAAGGAAGGAAGGAAGATGTCCGAGGAAAGACAGCAGAGGATGTGAAGAATGATGAGGGGAAAAAAGGAGAGAAACAGAGAGATAACAAAACACTTTTACGACACACGAATAGAAAATATGTCACAACGTCCACCATTAAACACCGACTGGGTCATGTGGGTTCAAGGGGATGAAGGGGATGAAGGGAACCGGGGTTTGAGAGGGGAAGAGTCCGGACGATGCAGAGCTAAAGGCTGCGAAGGAAGTTTGAACTGTGAACCATTTTATATTGCATAATGTACAGACAAGCGAGAAAAACAGAGTAAAAGTCTGCACACCATAACAATAAGTCTACATTTACCTGGACTGATGGTTTTATATCCTACTTTTTTCTACATGATTTTAATTAACGGACCAAATCTGTTGTAGTATTTTGGGATATTGGTTTGTAGTGTTTGTGCTTGTGTCACATCACTTGTGTCTTGGATTCCTGGCGACTTTACACTTCATTTAATTGACAAAATGAGACTTAAAGGCGAGTTTGTGCTGAGAAAGTCTACATCACATGTGGGGTATGGATGGTTGAAAAGGTGCTGAACAAAGTGAAGCAAAAGCAACCAGGACTCCACTGGATCACATGGCCTAAATGCATCTCGAGTTGAGAAAACGATTCGACACCTTTAGCTCTCATCGCAGCAACCCAGCGAAGGGTGGTGAAGGCAGAGAGGGGGGAGGACAGGAGGGGAGGTGGAGAAAATGAGTTGCGGATGTTTGGCAAAGCGGCTCGGAGCTGGCAGACACTGAACATGAACTTCGACTTTTTGGGAAAGACCGGATTGTTTCTCTCTCACACTCTGAACATGCTGAAGTCACTCGTCAGACGCACAATAAGATGCACTCAGACGGTCGCACACAGACGCACACCAGGGCTTCGGCTAAAGGGGAGAGGAGGGAGAGAGTGCACAGCTAACCGGTTTTTGAAGAAGCAATGAAGCACCACAACACCAAAGGGTAAGGATGAAGAGAAGAAGGAAGGCTCCGGATCTTCATGCTGGGTAAAGATGCTACAAAAAAAAAAAAAACCCTCTCTCTCTGATCTGCCCAAAAGAAATTTGCTTGTCTTGTTTCTGTCCAGCTTAACTTAGCATGTTAGCATATGCAGCTAATGTGTCAGAAATCCTTACTTCATCTGACTCATGCACTCCCTCACACTTCCTCTCCTCCTGCATCTCTCCTCACCCCTCCCTCCCTTCACTCTCAGTCCTCAGCTCTCATTGGTCCATGTTCGAGAGGTTGCCACTCACCGGCGAATCGGCTGTCGGGAGCCTGCTCATTATCCAACCCCAAAGAGGGCGTGTCACAGAGGGCGACGCCCTGATTGTTATTGGCCAACTCTGGACACCTGCTCCGCCCACCTGCAAGCGAGGGCAAAGGTCAAACAAGAGCAGCCAGGCACAGCGGGGGGAGGGAGGGAGGCGGGACAGGCAGGGTGGGTGAGGGAGGGAGGAAGGGAGGAAGGGGTGAGGTGGGCCATGCTAGAATGGCAGTAACAAAATAATAACATCAGGTTTAGAGGGAGGCTGGCTCGGTGATCTGTGAAGCTCCTTCAGCAGGTATTATGGTCCCTGAGTGTGGATTTAGAGGCAAAAGGTGCTGCTGGTTTATAGCTTCATAAACAGTGTGTTCCAGTGGTTTTCAAACTGAGAGGTGACGATGAGCATGCAGAGCTGGAAAACATGTGATCAGTGAATCGAACACCTGAGCTCTGACGATACTTACTTTGTGTAATTAGCCAGAAAATGTACGAATGTGGTTCAGTACTGATGGATGGTTTACAGGGAGGAAAAGAAAAACAGGCGCTTCTAACAGAGCATCTTAATGTGTAGTTCATGATTTATTTTGTGTGTAAAACTCACATGAACTTGCAATTTTAATTTCTTTAATATTTGTTTGGCAAAAAAAATGTGTTAGATTTATGTGCTGTGGATGGAAAATGTATGAAAACTACAGCTGTCCTTTTGCCTTTAAAGCACTTAAAAGTTTTAAAGGAAAGTTTTACACACATGTACTGTTCTATGATCATGTGTATGTGAGACCATAAGCAGAAATGTTAAATAAACAGTTATTAGTTCAACATCTCCTGTTTTTGTGGAACATGTTGCAAATCAATTATCTGTTTTATCTTTATTTGGATATTATTAGATAAAATCAACAGCTCTACCTGCTTCTCTTTTTCCATAGAAACATCCCTATATGAGGACATACAGTGTTGTACACTATTAATCTGATAGACTGTGAGTTGTGTTTGTATTGGCTGCTACAATATGTTATAGTTTTATAGTATTTTAACAAATCGTGCGCGACACATCCGGTCACTGCAGTTATTTTTAGCTTTTTCTGTCCACTTTCTTTGCTAAGTGTTGAATTACACTTGGAGTCAGATGGTTTAGAAAATGATGCAAAATTTTAAAAAAAATCATAATAAATTGATATTTAATCGTATAATTTGTATTTGTCATTAGCTTTAGTCGTTTACACCAAACCAGCAGAGCACTGGCTCTCTTCTCATGTTTTCTCTTCCTGTCGCTCAGCTCAGTGTCTGCTGCCACATTAGTGTGACTTTTGTTTTCTCACTTATTAGATAAGCTGACAAATGAGACGAACTTATAAAAGGACGTGTATGGATGATTTGTGTGCCTCTTCCAGCATGGCCAGTTAATAAATACTGACATGTGTCATATGTGCTCGTGCATGCAGCAGCCTGCTTGTGAGCAGCATGTGAGTGTGTTAATAAGAAGGAAGTGGCAGAGATGACTGGATGATTGGCAGCTCAGCACAGAGACACAGACAGGGCACATTCAGAAGCTGTCTGGCAGCGCTGGTGCAGATGCACACGCGTGTGCGTGCAAACATACATCCTACAGTGCGTGTGCTCATTCACAGTCTGTCAGGCAGCACAGGTCCGCTCGTCTCCTAAAGAACTGAAAGGTCATTAAGCAGCTCACAGGTGCTCAGAGGTTGTTTCAGTCCGGCCCGAGGTGTCACAACACACACACACACACACACACACGCACACACACACACACACACACACACACACGCACACACACACACACACACACACACACACAATCCACAGAGAAGCTAATTTACATATCAAACTGCTGTCTAATGAAAGGTGACCTTGTTATGTTTGCTTCAAGCCCTACTGGTGGTGGATTCACACTCGCTGTACACCACAACACTTTCTTCAGCGCTCTCCACCACTCTCACTTCCTCACACACACACACACACACACACACACACACACACACACACACACTGACAGACACACAGAACAGCGCTCAGTGCAGATGGAGCATGTAGCAGCTTCATGATGCAGCAGCTAGAAACAGCAGATGCAGACCGCGAAGCTTTGTGACAGAAGTACGACACACTTCATCCTCAAACAGGAAAACACACAAACATACATGTTGTATACACGGACATTTATACAGAAGTGCAGCTCATGCAAATGCAGGTCAGTAGCGTGACGCACAGCAGAACCGCATCTGAACAACACAGGATGTCTGGATTTGCTCGTTTCCTTTTGTAAATGAAGGGATGCTCAGATCGATTGGAGTATTTATTACTAATTACCGGCCAGCAAATTCAGAATGAGGAGAGAACGCTTGTAAAATCAGACAAGCAAATAAATAAATAAATAAATGTCAGAGTTTTTACTGTCCGCTCCGTCAGCAGCAGAACAACTCAGACTGGACTCTCTGAAGGACACTCGGTTGACTGACTTGCACCGAGGTGGTAAATAAAGCTAAATGCCCCCCACAGTAACGCCTGATTTGTCTGATTTATATGTTGTAGGTTACTGATACTTAGCTACTCTTAACGCTAACGCCTTTCCAGTATTGATCTTTGACGCTTCTAACAAGTACTTCAGACCATAAAACCTGCATTTTAGGTTCTGTGAGTCTGCAGAGGCAACTCTAAAGTTGTTTTCTGATCTAAAACTTGATTTTTTATTATTATTTCATTGTACTAAAATTTATATTTTAATGCAGTGATAGAATCGTATCTGTAACTCTTGTCACATCCGGTTAATTTTTCTTATCTCTAACAAAACCACAGCAGGGCGATCACTAATCTATGCTGGAATTAAATGAAATCTGATGATATAATGACTGCAATAATGCTCCAATCAGTAATCGTATCACATCAAAGGCCTGTTTAGAGCATCCCCAGTGAATAAGATTTGGTTTGTAAGTTATTTAGGTCTCATGAGCTCAGCCCTCCCTGTGAAGCAGACCAGGTTTCTGGTGCACACATACTGCATGAGAAGCCATTCACTCCAGGTCAGATGCTGCATGTCGTGGTGGTCTCAGCCAACAGTGCATGCGTTCTAAACAGGGACTGCCCCATCTAGAGGACAACGTCTGACATAGAACCCCTTTATTTTGAAAGGGTTGTCATCACTCGGCCATGATTCAAAAAGAGTTACTGACAGATCGACCTCGTGGTTTGTATGAAAGGGTGTATTTCTTTTTCTCATGGCCTGAGAGCAACAAATGCAAAGGGAGGTGAGAGGTCAGGGGTGAAGGGTGAGGGATGGTTACCATAGTTACCTTTCCCATTAGACGGGGAGGAGCAGTCCTCTTCAGTGACATCATTTCCCTGAGAAAAACAGGAGAAAGAGTTTTGTAAAACTTCATAAGATGTGAATAAACACTAAAAATAAGCATGAACAGACCAGTGAGTTCGTCACCTCTGAGTCCTGTTCCTCTACAGCAACTGAGTAGTTTTGTTCCTTTGGCTCCTTGGAAAACTCCTGAATGAAAGAAAGGAAGAGATCCAGCGGGAGAAAATTGGATGATGAGAGGAGGCGTTCATTAAAATTACAACATCGTGCAGCTAACACGTCCTGCATCCTCACCCCGTCCTGCTGCGACAGTCCTCGGCTCTCCATGGGGGCGTCCTGGTTCTCCTCGCCCTCCACCTCGCCCCCATCGTCCCCCCCGGGCTCGCCTTCGGCCCCGGCCAGGTAGGACCCTGACATGGAGGACATGGTGTCAGTGCTGATGTGGGAGTGCTGCGAGTGGGACGAGGCCATGGACATCACTGACTGGGCCAGGCTGCTGCTCACTGGGTCTGACAGACAGACGAAGACACACATCACGGTCCGACTCGGGGGTTGGATGATTGTTTTTTTCCCCCTTTGGCTGCCGGGTGACATTTCCACCAGTTTGGAAAGAAAAATGATCCGTTCTCTCTCGAGGATAACAACAGCAGAAAACCTGAGTAGATTATTGTTCTGGTAGTGAATAGATCAGTGTTTCTGAATGCCAAAGCCCGTCTGCAGGATTAAAAGGCACGATGTCTTGGGAAAAAAATTGTGCAAATGATTCAATTGATCAGTTAGAAATGGTAAAAACTGAAAATATTGCATTATTTTATATTTCCCGTGGTCTTGCAAGATGCCAAAACAACCAAATTTGAGTTTAAAATCATAGTGTTTTGTCAAAATCGCTCTATTTTACATCTAATTTAAACATTTGCTCGAAAATACACCACTGTTCTAACCAGGTTACATAAAAAACAAAAAAATCCTCAAGGCAAGCATGAAGCCATGACTGACTCAGCGGTGACCAACAGTCACGTGGCAACAATTGTGGGACTTTTGGATGAACTGCAGGCTGTGTTTACAAAGAGTGGCGGGAAGACAAGTACGGAAACCAATGGAAATGTAAGTAGTAAAATTTCTATAGTATGTAGACTCGACATTTTTCCCCTGTGGAGAATTGGAAGCATGCCGTATATGTAAATTCCCCTTTTTTCACCTGTCGATTTTCTTTTTATAATTTATAGCATTGTATAATACTGCCCAGAAGATGCTTTTCTCTGTACCTCTAGTCATGGCTGTGCTGTTTCCTTAGAAGTGCACAACTTTAGTGAAAAATGAGCCCACGGTGACATAAAAAGGTGACAGGAGCCAAGAAAAAGCCTAAAATAATGTTCAATATTTGTCCAGATATTCATATTTACTATCATTGTAAGGGTTCGATTAATAGAAGCAACAAAACTTTCATGACTGTGCGTTAAAAAAAAAGGAACCTAGAGGTTATTAGCATAGCTTAGCATAAACACTGGCAGTGGGGGGAACAGCTAGCCTGGCCCTGCTGTGGTTCCAAACCAAACCAAACCACAAACCTTTGGGCAGAAGCATTTGATGGATAAACTGCTGAAGTAGAAAACATGACAATCCCTCTAAAAACATGAATGATGATTTTATTTCCGTCTCTGTCAGCAAAGTTTAAACAATCAAGATGAACTGTAGTAATGTTTAAAGATGCTTGTTGCCATATTTAGCATCTTTTAGCTACCTGTTTCCCCCTGCTTCCAGTGTTTATGCTAAGCTAAGCTAACTGCCCCTTTGCTGCAGATTTGTACTCAAGACACAGACATGAGTTCATCTAGTTTATCTCATAGCTGACTAAACACATCCGAACCTCAGCGCATCCCCCATTTTTGAGATAATTTAGTCCAAACCTTTGTCAGCAGCACAGGAGGCCTGGCTGCACAACAATTGGCTTTGTAGAAACATGTTTGAAGTCATTATAGCCTTTCATTCCAGCTGGAATAACAGTCCTCTCTTCCTGTTTTGTGCCGAAAAAAACCACCCAGCAGATTTCCCATAAAAATCCGATCCAGTGGCACCGACATAAAGCGCTGAGGTGGTGCGAGCTTCTAATTTATTTATGTTAAAAGGCTTCAAAGTGCGCCTCCAGCTCGCTGCAAGCTTTCATGCTAAATTTCAGGGACACTGAACTCCATTTTGAGGACAATGCTTTTCCTGACTGGACACTGCAGCTTAATCTGACATCTTAATTCAGTAAAAAGTATGAAACGAGAAGAAACCAACCTGTCTTGAGCTGCAGTCTCAGTTTAAAGTCAATTAAAATGTTTATTCCACACAGAAACACTACGTCACACAGAACAGAGGGAGCACAGCATCAGCCACAGATTAGATATTAGGACAGTAAAGCTCTTTGCAGACATGAAACATATAAGATTTGTGTCTTCATCACGTGAACACGGGTGACTTTGATCGGAGCTGAAAAGTTCACGACAAGCTGCTGCAGCAACAGATTCACTTATTTTGCAATTGGAGCCTTAATGATTATTGTGAGCGTGCTTCTGTTCTAGTAAATCTCCTATTAAGTAAAGAATTCATGACGTTTGATGGTGCAGAAGCATTACATGACAGAACTGTAAGTTAGATGTTTTTTTTCCTATTTGCTCACATGCCGTGTGTAAATTAAGGGTTTGTGGGTTTTTTTTAAAACATCTGTTTTATCCCAGTTGCACCGTAAAGAGAGAAACAAAATGTTTACAAAATGTTTTTTACTTCAATAGAGCGATCTTCTTTTCTCTGTGCATAATAAAGGATGCTTCCTGTTGAATTAATTGTTGAGACATTTCTGTGCATGTTTCATGTTGTTGTGTCGACGTTAAGTTCGGACGTCTGTAATGTTTAAAGAGTCACGGAGATGCTTTTGTTGTTGCGTCTGCACATTAAAGCGGTACTCAGATATGAAACCAACACGTCAGAGATGCGAAAATACAACATCAGCATTAACTATTCACAATATAAGGAATAAATGTAAACAATAAAACTCTTAAATGTGAAAGTAATTCATCCAATAACAAAAGCTTTTCAAGCTACTCCAGATTTTTGTCATGTAGGTCTGAGTGCGTCTTATTGTGGGGACATAAATATACCCAATCTACCCAGACTCTCCTTCCTTCTGGGGGCAAGAAACATCAAACATTTCACAGTGAAGGTTAGTGTTTAAGGTTGTGGTGAGTTTGTGTTAGGGATGTGTGTGTGTGTGTGTGTACCTTCCGGGGAGGTGATGGTGGAGGAGAGCGGGGTGCCGGTGCAGGATGACTGGTCGATGGCTCCAGACGAGGACAGAGTCAGGTTCTCGCTGTCTGGAGTCACTCCGCACTGTAACACAACGAGAGCACAACGCTACATGATCTTACGCGCTCAAAAACAAACGCGTACACTCCCACTGCCGCTGGAGAAATCCGACACGGAGATGATGTGTTTTCTCCTCGTCTGCGTTTGACACACTGACCTCCTGCTGGTCCACGACCAGTTTGTGGCGACACGCCTCCGACTCGCTGCAAGACTTCTCGTCCTCCTCCTCAGGAAGCACAGAGGAATTCTGGGAAAGTGACCTGAAATATACGACAAGACGGACTTATAGCACCAGTGGGTTTGACGCACTAGTTTTACCGAAACACTCAAATGATACAGAGATGGACACTAACAAAAAATGCTGTTTGTATTTGTCAAAAAATACTTGAACATGAGTGAATCCTACATAAAACACCACATTTCTTTTTTTAAAGTAATTTTTTGGCCCTTGGGCCTTCACTGATAGTGCAGTGAGAGAGAGACAGGAAAAAAGAACGGGGGAGGACAAGTCGGAAAGGGCCATGAGCGGGATTCGAACTCATGACCTCCACATCGGGACTGTAGCCCTGTACATGGGACGCCAGCTCAACCAGGTGAGCTATAGTGGCGCCCCTAAAACTATACATTTCTAAGGCCGTATTGATTCCCTGTGAAAATCTGTGCATTCGTGTTTTCCTCTCTGCTCGTATCGCTGCTTTGCCCGGACTGAGACTCTCATATTTCAGTTGTTAGAGACAAATGAGCAACACCTGAATGTGAGTTTGATCCCAGTTGGTCGACTGTTTGTTCGTGTACAATGAAATCTGAGCAAACCAGGATCAAACAGTCCCTGACAGGATTAAACAGAACTAACTTCTATGTATGTTAAGTTCTCCAGAAATAATGCTGAAGATGTATTTTTACATTTGACTGATGCTTCATTAATAACATGCACAGAGAAACAATCTGTACTTAGCGCTACACAGCCAGTCTGTAAAATAAACAAGCCAATTCTGTTTGTGAGAAGACAACTGGGACAAAAAGTTTAAACCACTGCTCTATTGTTTCACTGACATATTTCACTCTGGATGCAGTAAACTGGAATCAAATAGACACAAATCACAAGGCAACAGTAAACTGATAAAGCACTACGCAGCCACTTTCTTGCTCATCGACGCAGTAAAAACTAACAGTGAGCAACGTTCTCTGACTGGACTCACTTTGATCCACTCTTCTTGAGTTTGAGTCCCTGACTGGAGTTGGAGTGGTCTAGAGGGGAGAGGGAGCGGGCCGGCGCCGGATGGGGCTCGCTGCTGTACGGAGGCAGCGCTCCGGAGACGTGGCTGGGACCAGAGTGGAGAGGAGGAGGAGCCACCGAGGAGGTGTTGAGGGGCCCGTTCAACGCCTCCAGCAGAGACACGGCCTCGTAGCCCGGAGGGATGTGCTCCGACGCCTGCAGCGAGAACAGAACGCGGGGAACGTGAGTTTGCTGCGATCAGAAATGATGGTTGTTCTGTACACATCCAGTTGTTTGTGTCCACTGTGCCTCACCGAGTGTTCCTCAGAGTCGGAGGTCTGGGAAGTGATGACGGGGTTAAAGCTGGTAGGTGACAGAGGACTGAGTTTCTTCCTCATGGCTCGGATCTGAAGCAGAGCTCTGAAGGCTTTAAGGAAAACAAGGCAACATTAAAAACAGATTGAAATAATCCCAACATTTAATAACACTGAAAATGTTACTTTAGGACAGGGGTCTCGAACTCCGGTCCTCGAGGGCCGCAATCCTGCAAGTTTTAGATGTTTCCTTCTTCCAACACACCTGATTCAAATGATCAGCTATTCATCAAGCTCTGCAGAAGCCGGATAACGATTCTGATCATTTGAATCAGGTGTGTTGGAAGAAGGAAACATCTAAAACATGCAGGATTGCAGCCCTCGAGGACCAGAGTTCGAGACCCCTGCTTTAGGAGAAATAAAACTATTTCTCAAAGGTACACTTAACATGAGGAAGAGACAGGAGGAAACTATTCACAGTCCATACAGGGCATCACAGGAGACTGTCATCATTTATTTTGGATTTCCGTGAGCTTTAAACCCTCTTTGCTAAACCTGTCACAGATTACCACAGCTGCACTGTATTTGATTTTGCATTAAGTCACCCTCTAGAAGGAATAATAAACTTTTTTTTTAAGCTCGAGAGAGAACTTTTCTATCCTTCTGTGAATTTGTTAAAACAATGCAGCAGATTTTACACCTTTTCTTCTCGGATGTCAAACGTAGGTTGAAGTTTCCTCTGCTGCTGTTTCCAGTCGGTGTTGATGCAGCAGCTATTGTTCAAACCTCCTTTCCTTCCTCTGACATTGTGTTCTGCATGAAACACCAACATTTCATCTGTGCTATTTTTCTTCCATCACTGCAGCCACCTGACCGTTGTGCGACAATTTGTAAGTAAATCTCCCCGTCAGTGTGCAAAACACACGGTCCTTCATCAGAGTCTGGAAAAGTGTAAGTCTGCTTTCTGCACTCCTTGTGATGCCCCCTTTGAGGTTCAGGGAGCATCACCAGCAGCGGCAACCACTTTTCAGACAGGAACAAACTCTAACGCTGATGGGAACTCACGCAGTCTGCAGATCGGGCAGCAGTTGGCCTGGTAGCGCAGCGTGTCTGCGCAGGCGTTGCAGAGACACAGATGCCTGCACGGCAGGATGAGTGTGTCTCGCACATCAGACAAACAAACGACACACTCGGCGCTGTTGTCACTGATCTCGTCGTCAGCAACCTGGGGACACAAATCATTAAAACATTAAGAAGAAAGAGACTTCCTCGAGTGGAGCTACAAAGGCAGACGGTTACGCTGATCTGTTTCACTACACTTCCGTGTCACTTGTGATGCGCTCAAAGACGACTGAAGCACTTGTCGTGTTTTGTGATATCTACCTTTGATTCCTGACTGTTGTATTTGTTCTCTATACCATAGATCTCCTGCAGCAGGTAGCTCACACCATCCACCTGGGAAAAAGGGAACGCAGTGAAGAACAAAGGCAGCCGGTCTCAGGGGCCAGACGTAATGTTCAAGGGGGAAATAAAGCTTTGGTGTGTCTTTGTCTTTCAAAAGCATGCGAGTGTTACACAAGAAGGAGGAGGGAGGGGAGAAGAAAAGCAGGTGTATTCACCACTTGTTTCTGCTTCAGAGGCTTCACACAGTAGCTCCCGTCCATGTGCTAAAGAAGAGAGCAACAGATGTACATTATTATTAGTATTATTATCATTAACCCCTCTGTCATATCAGCTGAGCCTGGAAAATGGGCTGCACTAACTGACAAGCCAGATCCTGTCACATCTTATATGAAATTGAATTATAATTCTGCTCTGACGACAACACTCAGGTGCTTTTATGAACAGTTTATACATGCAGTTGTCATTCCTCTTGTTCAGACTGGCTGTTAAGAGGTTACTTCCCATTTTGCAAGCTAAGCAAAGGAGGAAACGTTCATTCTGCAAAAAAAAGTTCAGAAAAGAAACAATCCAGAGAACCATAAAGAGAGAACTTTGTACAAACAAGTCTGTTAACGGTGGAAAATACTTGTTTTACGTGATCAAGACTGCTGGAGTTTAGCCTCAGATAAACTTTGGATTATATTTTTTATGACTGTGGATTACGTCCTCTGTCTCTTCTACAGCAGTGACATTAAGAGGGAACCATGTGATGGCCGGCGTGAACAGCGAGCAAAACCAAAGTACCTGTGAGTCTGTCCTTCAAACGTGGTCCAATTTCAAACAGTCCAAATAGCATCAATGATTCGATTTTATTTCCTTAAATTAATATATTCTGAAAATAAAACCCTCTCCGTGAACTGCATTAAAACAGTAAAACGTCCCCAATACTGAGCTATTTAATCAATACAGCTTCACTGTTGTGATTACAGACACAAGTAATTAAATGCAAAGTGCCATCAGGGCCTTGTTTGTATGCACGGCGAGGCTTTACACTGTCATCCAACACCCAAATATGCTAATACACTGAGATTTAAAACAGAGAAATGTAAAAGATTTTCATATCTTATAAGCAGATTTTTTGACATTTTAGCTTGAAAAAGGACTTTTTGTCAAAACCTGCCCGTATGTTAACGGGTTCAGTGTTTCAGTGCTGCCTCAGAGCAGTTGCAGCATCTCTCTTGTCTTTCTTACCTTCTCAAACGTAGCCAGGAGGATGTGAGAGTGGCCCAAATGTTCTGCAAAGATAAAAGACAGAGGACACGTCTTTGCTTGTAATTCTGCTGCTTTGCTTTCACATCAGACTACGACAAACCGCAGCAGCTCACCTTCTCCTTCGTCGACGACGGCCTGCACCACCATGGGGAAGATCTCCTTGTCCATGTCGAACAGCAGCTGAGAAGAGAAGCGCTGCAGATATTTATCTGTACAAACTGGCTTCGCACTCAAGCAGGGCCTCGAACAGACGTGTGGCTCAACAACGAGCGTGCAGATACGAGCCGCCTACCTCGTCGTCGGCCCATTCGCTGAGGTTGACGGTGTGCGAGGGCAGACAGAACTGCTGGCAGACTCCCCTCTTGAAGTGCACCGTCTCAGACTGCAGCGAGCTGTCCTGTGGCAGGTAACTGCAGGAGAACACAGAGGCGCTAATCAGAACTGGCTGCTTCTGTCTGCTGCAGTTGACGCGTGGGTGGTTCATTTCTAAGCATAATGAGCTCTCGGTGCTTAAATGCAGCAGTTACCAGAATTAATTGTTTTTTTTTTTCCTGAGCAGTAAACCAGAGAGGGGGAGTCTTATTTAAATAAATCCTATTCTGTGTGAAGTGCTGAATGCTGTGGGCAACATCTGCTTACATCCTGTCAGGACAGAAATAGAATCAGAGGCAGCCCTTTATGCAGGATATTCATATACAGGGACGTAACATAAAACGTGTTACGCAACACCATGTGGGCATAACTTATGAGCATCTGTATGAATATTTATGGATGTATTTTTCCATTTCATACCAGCCTGCATTTGTATTTCAGTATTTAGTCTCTTGTTTTGTTCATGGATGCAACAATTCTACTTTTTCTCTGCAGATACCTCCATATATCCAAAACCTGTGTTGTATTTTTCCCAAAACTTTACCAGCTAGTTTCCCAGAGAAGGATCAAGCTTAATCTTCGACTAAAAGAAAAATTAAATGATGATCTTTATTGACTACAGACATAATCCGTGTCTGGGAAGCTGAGCCCCACTCTGGAACGCACACAGCGTAGATCTCGTCGGGATCATTTTCATGTAATGTAACATAAGTCCCTGCTTGCTCTTGGCTTTGTACCTGACGGCGCAAACATGAATTTTTCAGCATTAATGAAGAACCTGTATTTAATGTGGATCAGTCTCGAGCCTTTTGAGAAATCGCCGTGACAGCTTTTGAAGGCGAACCGCGGTCGCAAACATCTCGAATGCCAAACTGAAAGTCACACGTTCTCGAGATGAGTAATTTGTGCTCGTCTTAAGCGCTTAAGTGACAGTTGAGCAACAAAAACAAATAAAAAAAATAAAATAAAATCAGCACACACATCAACACAGGTTTGATTTTAAGACATCCGACTCTACATCACAGATACGGTATGATATGCAAACTCCACTGACAGAAACTAGTTATACTTCAGTAAAGAGAGAGCATCCGGTGTCATTTGTCCCACTTACACTGGCACTCCGTTGTGAAACTCCTCTATGGCCTGGTAGTAGATGGTGATGGCCACCTGTGTGTCAGCGTCGAAAGTAAACTCTACGTTGTAACACGCTCGGTTCTTCCCCGCCGCCTCGTCGCCCGGCAGCTTCAGGTCCTCGCTGCACCTGGAAACGGGCAAGAAATCCGAAATATATATAAACGCTTCAGGCTTTGAGTCGATAATCTGAACCAGAGGACTTATTTTTATGTCTGGTCATGGATAGTTATTCTTGTTTATGTCCTGTTTTCAGGGTTGAGGAACATGTTGTGCTTTTATTTCTGGCTTCAGTTTTGTAATTGGATGGCATACGTAACGCTCAAAAATAAGTCTGCCCTACAAACACAACAAAACAAAACAAAAAAAACATGAATGATTTGGCACTCTCCCTTAAAAACACCTCAGCGGATACAAAATTAGACACCAGCTCAGCGGTGTAATGAAGGGTTACCACCAGTGTGTCAGGTGGACTGACCTTACGAGCCGCAGCGTGTCCTTTCGAATGTTTATAAGGCTTCGTAGCGTCTTTACTGGTTCCTGAGGTGGAGGGGCTGCATAGGGGAACTGAAGACAAAAAGAAAACAACAAATTATAGATGGAAAATACATGTTACGACTCGGACCGGCGTTCATTTTCTCTCCACCGCGCCGCATTCCTCTCTCCACCGCAGCAAATTCAGGGTTACGCGATGACCGTGGCTGCTCCGAGTTTAACCTTAACACAGAGGAGGTTTTGGTTTGTCAGCACGGATCTTGTCGGTGCTGACAAGTGCTGAGCCGGAGAGAAAAATTTCGCTCAGACTGTGTCTTTCCAGGGACAAGGCTGACACTTCAGACAGCACATTTCTGCAAACATGGGGACCACAGGAGTGTAAAAGAGTCCAGGGTCAAAGAGAGTCTGTCTCTTACAAAACCAAACCGGTCTCTGATAAGACTGTAAAGAACATTCGCTTATCTACTTTCTCCTGTGGCCGACCCTGCCTTCAGCAAGAAAAAAAATCGTCACTAAAAACCTTGAAGTGTAACCTTTAAACTTGACCCAGTCTGCGCTTTGCTTCTCAGCGCTCCTTTGTTGTGCGTTTGAAGCCAGAAGTTGCTGAGCGAGCGTAAGGGGAGAGCCGAGGTGGTTGCGAGGATCTCTGGAGGAGAAACATGCAGGATGTGGTCAGATACCTCGACACTACAACCCCTCATCTGTGTGCCTGTGTGTGCTTAAGTGTGTGTGGCGGCGAATGGCACCGTATTCAGCACTATTACACATCTGGGCTCAGCAGGAGTCACGCCTGTAAACCACACAAACAAACACACAGATGCTGAAACGAGCCATTCACTGGAGGCAACACTGTAGGTCTTATGGTGTGTTAAACATGCCCCAACATCAGAGAAACCGTCTGCATCTCCTCACACACACTCAGGCTGACGTAAAAACTGTTTTTTTTTTCCTCTTTACGTACAGGTGAGTGCTGCTCAAAGAATGCACAAGTCGATATTTATTAATGATACAGGCAGGCTCATTAAAGCAGATTTTTTTTCTGGAAAACGTCATTCCAACGAGAGTTTACGGCCACATTAGCGGCTCCGTGTGAAGCTGTATGAAGACAGCAACGGCAGAGTTCTGAGCTGAGGGGAAGAAGTTCACACTGTCAGAGCTAACAAGCTGATATTTAGGAGTTATGACGTTTACAATATTCACCATCTTGATTTAGCATGTTGACGTGCTTACATTTAGCGCCAAACACAAGCTGCGTCCTAAACTAAATGTGTAAAGTGTATTCTACATACTAACTCGTAGTGAGCAGTTTTAGGAGCTAGTATGCAAAAAATTAAATGCATTCACTTGCATTTTGCTGGATGAATAATGTAAATAAAGCAAAATTAAGGTTTGTTTTCCACATGCATTGAAATTTTTATTGTATATTAATTATCAGGCTTGTTAAATTGGCTATCATGTATTCTGAATCTGTATTTTTCCACTGAAGCGATGATCCTGTCTTGTACTTTTCTACCGAGCACAGTGCATGTCCTTGGAGATAACATGGCCGCTTAGACCTGGTTAGAAAGCTGAAACTCCTCTGTTCTATCAGTTTGGACTGTTACTTCAGATACACGCTGTACCAACAGCATCCACGCAGTCCAACCTCTGTACGGGGCAGACCCAGCCCAAGAAGATAAACGTGAATTATTTCCAGACATCGAGGCTCTTTCTGTCACTCTGAGCCCAGCGATGCCTCACTTCACCTTAAGATTTCTCCGGTTTGTTCTTGGGCTTCCGGCTAAAGAATCGGGGCCAACAGGCTCCACGTTAGCCACTAAAAGTCCAACTACAGAACAAGAGTTGAAAATTAGCGACAGCCATAAACTGTCAGTGCAGCAATGTTTAACTGTAACGCCCTCATGAACCTCACACAAGTCAAACATTATATCATGATGGAAAGAACAACAGGTAAAAGAAAAGGACCAACAAAGTCCTACTGAGACTCAGAAGCAAATTAGACAAAATAAAATGTTGGCCTTGCATGAAAGTCTAAGAGGGCTGCAAGGTGACGCAGTTGGTAGCACCGTTGCCTCGTAGCTAGAAGGTCGCCGGTTCATGTCCCGGTGAGGACACCCAGGATCTTTCTGCGTGGAGTCTCCATGTTCTCCCCGTGCAGCGTCGGTTCTCTCCGGGTTCTCCGGCTTCCTCCCACAGTCCAGAAACATGTTGAGGTTAATTGGTGATTCTAAATTGTCTGTAGGTGTGAATGTGAGTGTGCTTGGTTGTCTGTCTCTAAGTGTAGCCCTGTGATGGACTGGTTACCTGTCCAGGTGAACCTGAGTCAGCTGGGATAGACTCCAGCCCCCCACGACCCTATTGAGGATTAAGCTGTGTATAGATGATGGATGAAAATTTAAGAGATCACCAAAAGTTATTACAATTTACCCTCAACATCTGGAGTAACTTCCATTTAATATTTTTCTCAGGATTTAACTGACATGTCAGCGTTATGATGGCGCTGGAGGAAAGTCAGAGACCCTCAAAATCACGAGGATTCATCTTCTGGCAACCATGAACGTCTCTGCAGAACTTCATGGCAGTCCGTCCTGAGATATTTCAGTCCAAATCAAAATGGTTTCACCCCATCATGTGGCTTAAAATCCATTTTGTATTTGTGTGCTTCAGGCAGGACGTTCTGAAAAATCCCTAAATATAGCCTCGTCCATTATCATATTTGTCGAGCGGCACAGGAGACCGAGCGCACAACAACTGCGGTTGGGTTTATGATTCCACAGCACCATCTGCTCAGAAACCACCAAACATTATATAATGCTGGTAAAGCTTCAGACGCACATACAAGAACAAAAAAAAAAAAAAACACGCCATCACCAGCTGAATTCTGTGCCCACAGGAGGATTATAAACACCCACATAATCGGGAGAAAAACTGCACTCCTAATTTTAGCCCCAGTCTAGACAGAAACAGCAGAGCGACTGAGATTAGTGCACAGTGAGATGGAGCTGAGTCTCTCCATATCAGCCTCACTTAGGCAAACACTTTAGTTCCCTCCAAGCCTTTCGGCCTGTGGCGAATTCTGTCTTCCCTCTGCGGGCTCCAGCTCTTTGTGATCCGCCGCTCTCATTAGTTTGACCTTCAGGTTCATGATTAGGTTTGAACGAAGCCTCCAGAGGGACGGTCGCTTATCAGCCTCTCTGTAGAGGCAACCGGCAGGCTGTCATTTCACTTTTAATTAGTTTGACAGGATGAGACGTGGAAATAAATTTCAATTAGTGACAGTCTGACAGCGTGTTAATTGCCACTGCAGGAGCCACAGCTGCCGAAATGTATCCGTGACAAGAAGACAGCGGCGCCTTTTGATCCTGAAATGTCCACTAATGCGTTTGTCGATGGACCAAAAGCTGAAAAAATCGTGTTTTCGCTGCACAAATGTGAAGATGTCAAAACTGTGACGGACATTTTTCAGCGTTTTCTGACATCTTAAAGACTAAACACTTTCAAAAACAATAACTCACACTTGACAATGAATTAATTGTTAGCTCCAAAGCAAAAACCTTTACTTATGGATAATTTAATCATCCTTATAGAGTTTTATCCAATTTTGAGTGCATTCCTGACGATGGAAACAATACTTGTCTTCCCTAAAACACTCAGGTTTGAGCATCTACAGTTCCGTGACCACTGGTTAAACTCCATCTGCTGAAAAACATCATGTAATATGACTGAAAAGCTCCGGGGGAAGCTTCACAATGATGGTATAAACACTGGTCTGTAGTTTTAGACAAGTCAAAAGATTTGCTTTTGGCAGATTTGTTTGGTGTGAGTCTATTTTACAAAAACAAAGAAGGACTCATTTCAGCCTAAAAAGTTCGATTCCTAACCCTCAGGCTGAGTCTAAAACAGGAGCTGCGCCTCCATGGTAACACAAACTGACAAAAAGGGACAAACATGGATCATAGTTTGTGGTTTGCAGATAAAATGGGAGTTTTTCCAGAATGCCCACTGGAAGCGAACTTTTTCAAATCAGTGTTGGTTATATTCGTGACTGAACTTGAAAGTATCTTCGTTACAAGTTCATTCTTCAAGGACGCACACAACTTTAAAAGAACTTTATGTTTCTGGCAGACAGTTGGGAACAACTTTTGGCAACGTCGCCATGTTGCATTTGCAGGAAGGTCATGTTTTTAAATGCAAATGAGATCTGTGGCCGTGGACTTCTGGCTGACTTTGTGGAAAACTTCCATCCATTAGCACTTCACTTTTCAGACGGTCACTTGGGGGTCGGACTTTATCCCAGGTGACACGGGGTGAGAGGTGGGTCGCACCCCGGACAGGTCAGCGGTTCATCACAGGGTCGGCATTCGTGCTAAAATTCACACCAGCTTAGAATCACACCATTTAGAATATGCATGTCTCGCACAGCAAAGTGACGCCGGCACACAGAGAACAGCTGACCAACAGGTTCAAACTCACAACCAGGAAAATCAATCTTACAAATATAAAAACTACATCAAATATGAATTTGTGGTAGTTTTCCAGCTAAAGTCCACCTCAAGTTTAGCACACATCTAATTTGCATA